AGTGGAATGGCTGGATCATATGGTAGTTCTACTTTTAATTGTCTGGAGAGCCTCCATACTGTTTTCCATAGCACCAGTTTACATTCCGATGCACAGTGCCCAAGCATTCCCTTTTGTCTGCATCCTTGTTAACGCTTGTTCCTCCTTGTGTTTTTGGTAGCCATTCTAACAGGTAGGAGGTAATATCATTGTGGTTTTGATTTGCCTCTCCCTAATGATGAATGATGTTGAGCATCTTTTTTATGGGCCTGTATGTCTTCTGTGAACAATGTGTATTCATATTTTTTTTGCAAGTGAGTTATGTGAGTTCTTTATACATTTTGAATATTAGTCCCTTATGAGATACAGGACTCAGGAATATTTTCTGTGTTCAGTAGGTTTCCTTTCTATTTTTGTTGATGATTTTCTTTGGTGTGCAAAACATTTTAGTTATGATGTACTCCTATTTATTTCTTCTTGTGTTGTTTTTTTGCTTTTGGAGTCGAACGTAAAACCATTGCCAAGACCTATGTCAAGGAGCTCATTAGCACCTCTGTTGTTTTTTTTTAAGGAGTTTTATATGGTTACATGTTTTCCTGTTTTCTTGTATGCCTTGTGATTTTTTGATTAAACATTGGGCATTTGAATTTAATAATGTGGTAGCTTGGAAATCAGATTCTCCCCAGGCTGCAATGTTTGCTGTATTTTCTTACTGTTTTTGTTTCTTCTTATTTATTGTTTGATGGTGGTAGTCTCTCTTTGTGCCAAGGATCAGCCTGATGTATAAATGTAATGTCTTCTTAGGTGTGGATTCTTTAATTCCTGTGGCAGGTATGTCTTTGCAGGTTTCCTTATGAGAATATCTTCTTTGAGATCAGAAAGAGTATTTTATTCCACTTGGAATTGTCAGAACCAGGGCAGTTCCAAGTACATGTGTGCACTCAGATCTTTTGCATTAAAGAATAAATTGATTCGTCAGTGGTATTTCTACTCTAATCTCTTTTTTACTCGCAGTGTCTAACACAAAGCAAGGTATATATATAGTAGAGGTTAGTAACATCTGGTCAGTTTTCAACAGCAAAACATGTAAGAATTTGTCTTTGAAAATCTTTTTTTTTTTTTTTCATATTTCCTGATTCTGACTACTTTAGACTGAGCACAATGTGCTTTTGCAGGGATAATTGTCATTCGGGGATGTGACTCTGGGCTTCACTGAGGAGGAGTGGCAGCGCCTGGACCCTGCTCAGAGGACCCTGTACAGGGACGTGATGCTGGAGAACTACAGCCACCTTGTCGCTGTGGGTAGGTAGTGCTTGTTTCTCAGGCAGGCCTCCAGTATGTGTGCCTGTTTTGTATTTACAGAAACCTGTAGAGTTTTTGTAGACTACAATAATATTTAGCTTTGGAATTTGGAGGCCAAGGATGGTTTATCCCTTTTGGTTGTCACAAGGAATTTGTTTCCCTGTGTCCCATAACAGGGATTAAATTAAATTTTTTTTATTGTGCAGTTTTTGAGTTATACTGTCGTCCACCTTGAGAAGTCCTGAAACTCATCCAGTTTGTCCCACGTGATACGATTCTTATTCACAGGGTTATCCATTCCTAAACCAGAAGTGATCCTCAAGTTGGAGCAAGGAGAGGAGCCATGGATATTAGAGTCCCCAGGCCAGAGTGACCCAGGTGAGTCAGTCAGTGTGAGTCAGTTGGAGTTTAGGAGGAAATTAGATGATAAAGCATTAGTTGAGAGCTTAAGGTCATTGGAATGGTCTTTGAAGTGGTCTTCAGGAATCACTTTTTCGAGGCTCTGATGAGCCTTTGGAAGTGGCATGTTGACTTGACTCAAATATTCAGTGTCCCTGAATCACCCAGAATCTCCCAGTGTCACTTCTGTGTACGAAAGGAACAATTATATTGAATTAAGTGCACACATCTTAAGATATACTCTCTATATATGCTATATATGTGTATGTGGACCATATGTATGTTCTGTGTGTGTGTATATATAGTATCTGGCTTCTTTGGTTCAGTATTACGTCTTTGAGAAACATTCGTGTTGTGTGTATGATTAGTTTATTGCTGTATATTGCTGTGTAGCATTCCATTGTGACTCTCCCAGAGTTTATCTCTTTATTTTTATACTACATATTAAGGATACATATTCGTTTTGAAACCTATTTGGTTTGAGTTTTAAAGTATTTAAGCATCGATATAAATAGTCTTGTGTGTGTCTTTTTGAGGAAAAATTGTTTTTAAATCTTTGAAATCATATCCTATATATCTATATTTATATCTATCTATTTATATATTAAATGTTCATTCATTTATTTTGAGAGAGAGAGAGCATTCATGTGAGCAGGGGAGGGGCAGAGAGAGAGGGAGAGAGAGAATCCCCAGCAGGCTGCATGCTGTCAGCACAGAGCCCAACATGAGGCTCGATTTCACATGTCATGGTCTCACAGGTCATGAACTCACATGACCTGAGCTGAAAGCAAGAGTTGAATGCTCACTGGACTCAGCCACCCAGGCGCCCCTAAGCTCTTAATGTCTGTTAGATGTGTGACCAGAAACAGGCTTGCTGGGTACAGAGTAGCTACATATTTAGCTTTATCAGTATTTTTTAAACAGTTTTCCAAAGTGGTTGTACTACGTCATATTGCTACTAGCAATGTGTGAGAGTTTTAATTGCAGTTCATCATTGACTTGGTATTGTCAGCCTAATTAATTTGCTATTCTAGTTATTGTGTTGTGCTATCTTGTTCGGTTTTAATTCCCATTTCTCTGCTGACTCATGATGTTGTGCATCCTTTCATATGTTTGTTGGCTTTTTGGATTTCCTTTAGCAAAGTAACTGTTGACATCTTTTGTCAATATTATTTTATTGGGTTATTGTTCTTACTGAATTCTAGAATTTTTTTATTTTATTTTATTTTTTTTTAATTTTTTTTTTCAACGTTTATTTATTTTTGGGACAGAGAGAGACAGAGCATGAACGGGGGAGGGGCAGAGAGAGAGGGAGACACAGCATCGGAAACAGGCTCCAGGCTCCGAGCCATCAGCCCAGAGCCTGACGCGGGGCTCGAACTCACGGACCGCAAGATCGTGACCTGGCTGAAGTCGGACGCTTAACCGACTGCGCCACCCAGGCGCCCCTAGAATTTTTAAAATATATTTTGAATATAAAATTTTGGCAGATGTATGTAGTTATTGAAATCTTTTCTGAGTTATGTCTTGTCTTAGTCTCTTGATGACTTCTGAATACGGTTACAAAGACTGTCCTTTCCCCTGCTGAATTGTGGTTTTATCTTTGTCATTTATTGAGTGATCATATATTTGTGGTTTTCTTTCTGGACTTCTGATTTGTTCTACTGGCTGATTTATCCTTCTTTACGACAATACCACTGCTTTTTATTTTTATAACTTAATTATAAGTTATGACATCTGGCAGTGTTAGCCTTCTGGGTTGGCTATTTTCTTTTTTTTAAATTAAAACAAAATTTTTTTTGAATTTATTTATTGTTGAGAGAGCACAAGCAAGGTGGGGCAGAGAGAGGGAGAGAGAGAGACTGTCTCTCTAGACAGAATCTGAAGCAGGCTCCAGGCTCTGAGCTGTCAGCATAGAGCCCGATCAGGGCCCAAACCCACGAATGGTGAGATCATGACCTCAGCAGAAGTCGGATGCTTAACCGACAGAGCCACTCAAGCACTCCTGTTTTGGCTATTTTCTTCAGGGTTCCTTGGCTATAACATGAATACAGAAAGTTGCCAAGAACATCTTTTTGGCTTTAGTTTTATTTATTTATGTATTTATTTATTTTTATTTATTTTGAGTTATATAGAGACAGCACGAATAGGGGAGGGGCAGAGGGAGAGGAGATCTTATTCCAAACAGACTCTGCGCTGCCAGTGCAGAGCCCGACCTGGGGCTTGAACTCACAGAACTGTGAGATCATGACCTGAGCTGACACCCAAGAGTCAGACACTTAACTGACTTAGCCACCCAGACGCACCCATTGTTTTTTAGTTTTTGTTTTTGTTTTTTTTTTTTAATTTTTTTTTTCAACGTTTATTTATTTTTGGGACAGAGAGAGACAGAGCATGAATGGGGGAGGGGCAGAGAGAGAGGGAGACACAGAATCGGAAACAGGCTCCAGGCTCTGAGCCATCAGCCCAGAGCCTGACGCGGGGCTCGAACCCACGGACCGCGAGATCGTGACCTGGCTGAAGTCGGACGCTTAACCGACTGCGCCACCCAGGCGCCCCTGGTTTTTAGTTTTCTATTAGATTTATGTATTTAGTTTTTAAGAACATCTTTTTTTTTTTTTAATGCCTTTTTTTTGTTTGTTTGAGAGAGAGAGAGTGCCCGTGCTAGTGGGGGAGGGACAGAGAGACAAAGAGACACAGAATCTGAAGCAGGCTCCAGGCTCTGAGCTGTCAGCACAGAGCCTGACACAGTTCGAACTCACAAACTGTGGGATCATGACTTGAGCTGAAGTCGGACATTTAACCAACTGAGCCACCCAGGTGCCCCAAGAACATGTTTAGTCTACAAAATATATTAAAATAATTTTTGTGATGCCAGATATTATGGATAATGCATTGCTACTATGAGCTTTTGCATTTTCTAAAATTTTTTTTTTTCAACGTTTATTTATTTTTGGGACAGAGAGAGACAGAGCATGAACGGGGGAGGGGCAGAGAGAGAGGGAGACACAGAATCGGAAACAGGCTCCAGGCTCCGAGCCATCAGCCCAAAGCCTGACGCGGGGCTCGAACTCACGTACCGTGAGATCGTGACCTGGCTGAAGTCGGACGCTTAACCGACTGCGCCACCCAGGCGCCCCGAGGTTTTGCATTTTCATATACGTGTTAAAAGCACCTTGTCAATTTGTACAAGTACACACACACTCCCTACACCTACCTTTTTAGGGCTTCTATTGGGATTGCATTGCTCATTTTGGAGAAAATTGACATGTTCATAATACTGAGTTTTCCAGTCCATGACCATGGTATGACTCTATTTAACTCTTCTTTAATTTCTTTCTGGTTTTTTGTTTTCAGTTTAGTAGTTTTTCCCATCCTTCATTAAATATATTCTTTGTTTTTTTAAGTTTTATTTGTTTAAGTAGTCTTTACACCAAGTGTGGGGCTTGAGCTTACAACCCCAAGATCAAGAGTCACATGCTCCTCTGACTGAGCCAGTCAGGTGCCCTTTAGTAAATACATTCTTAGATATTTTTATGTTTTCTTATACTATTTTCATTTTTAACCTTATGCTATTCATACTATTTTATTCTCCAGTTGTTTAATGCTAACATATAGAAAAACAGTTGATACTTGCACCCTGGCTTTGTATCCTGCAACTTTGCTAAATTTACTGATTTTGGTAGTTATATAGATTTTTAAAAATTTCATAGGTAAACAATTGTGTTCTCTAGGAATAAAGACAAGTTTACTTCTCCTTCCTGATGTTTATACATTTTTTTTTTTCTTAGCCTGTTGTACTGGTTGAGAATGCCAGTGATGTGATGTATAGAAGTGATGAAGGTGAACATTTTTGTCTTGTTCTTGACTTCAGGGAGAAACTGTTGGGTGTATTATTATTAATTTTGACTTTAGCTGAAGGATTTCTATAAATGTCTTTTATCATTTTGAAGAAGTTCTATTCCTAATTTGCTAGGAGATTTTTTTTTTTTTTTTAGATCATGACTGAGTATTGAATTTTGTCAAATGCTTTTTCTGCATGTATTGAGATAGTCATACTTATTTCATATTTATTATGTTAATATGGTGAGTGATCTTGATTGATTTTCAAATGTTAAACCAACCTGATATGTTTGAAATACATTCATCTTCATCATAATGTATTTTGCTGTTATAATCACTGAGTTTGGCTTTTCACTATTTTGTATAGGGTTTCTCTGTGTGCATGTGTTCATGAGAGCTGTTATCCTGTAATTGTCCTCATCGTAATCTTTTCAGGTTTTGGGTTGAAGACTGTACTACCTTCATAAGATGAGTTGGGCGGTGTTTCATACTTTTCTATGTATGATATTATGTGAGATTATGTTATTTTTTTTAATGTTTGAAAGGTTTCACCTATGAAGCCATTGGGTCTGAAGTTATCTCTTGGTGGAGATTGTAAATTTCAGACTGTTAAATTTTTAGTATTTGTCTTTGTTAATTTTACCGTAAATACAATATACGAGTATTGGTACGAGTATCTGGATTAGAGCAGATTAATTATTATTTATGTAAAGCAAAGTAACAATTTTGTGGTTCTGTTGTACCTCAATTTCTTACTCTCGGAGCAATAAGAAAAACCAGGGGTCTTGCACATACATGCAGAATTGGTATTTTGGGTGCAGAACACCGATAAAATGAATCTGGGTGCTTGCATAGAGGAGAGAGGTAGTTGTCCCCCTACCCTTTTTAAAGCAGAGAGGGGAGCCTTTGCTCCCTTAGAAAGGAGCCCAAGTTCACACTCTAATCCTTTGAACTATGAGTAAATTTCTTCAGGGAAAAAGACGGTCATTATCTCCAGCTATGTGTGTATGTATGTATGTATGTATGTACCTTTTAAGTTCATTTATTTATTTTGAGAGGCAGGGGAGGTACAGAGAGGGAGGATCCCAAGCAGTCTCCACGCTGTCAGCGCAGAGCCCCACATGGGACTCCAACTC